AGGCTTCTGGAGATCAGTTATTGCAGAGATGCCAACTTGCTCCGGACAGCAAATATATATTTTAAAGTGGTAGTTTATCAATTGTGATTCTCGGTTTAATAAATTCGAATTAGTAGATTTTTATCCACCACTATTTCTTAATAATTTGTAGGCTTATATAATTCACCACTTTATAGTACTTATATCGTGCTATGCCCTTTAAAAAGCAAGAAAAAATAATCAAATATTTGCAAAATTTCTTTGTAGTTATTTACCGTTTTTTTAATTATTTTGGCGTGTCCGGAGCAGTTGGCATCTCTGGTTATTGTTAGGTATATATATGTATCATATAAGGGAAAGTAGGCTGGGTTGAAACGTGCTGTAACTGTAAGGTCAAATTTACTCACAAGATTTTAATGATGTTTGCCATTATGATTACTTCTACTGCATCCCCATGTGCTTTGAGATGAAGTGTCCTATAACTATTGAATCGAAACTAACAGAGAAGAGTAGCTTAATGACTGTTTCAGTCAGAGGATGTCATGAGATATTGCATAGGTTCGTTATTTTGAGGTTCTTATTGCCATATATATGAACAAAAGGACCAAATCGATGAAATTATTTCTCGACACGAAGCACTGATGTTAAGTGATCTCCGCATATATATATATATATATATATATATATACATTTTTTTAGATACAATATAATATTTAGCTACAATATAACATATTTTTTAGCTACAATATAACTTATTTAGCTACAACATAACATATATTTTTTTTATAAATGTCAATTACAGCATGTCAGTTTAAGAAAATATAATTGTAGTTTATCAAAAAATAAATTATCAAACATATTTAATGAATGATCCCTTTTAAAGTACTAACTAATGATTACAACAAAAAACTTAAATAATCAAGAAATTTTAGTAGCAGTAGTTTATTTACGTTGCACTGGAGTTGCACAATGGGCTACTGACGACGGTCTGGGAAACATTCTTGAGGATGATCCAAAAGACATGCCATTACAATTTTGATAGCCTGCAGGCAAAGTCGAACATTTTACAGAAGACTGATGCTGCACACCCTTGGTTCCTGTGCAAGATGATCACAGTGGTCATCTATCCAATCACTGAATGCAACCAACGATGCTCGACTTCAGTGTTCTAAGTGTCTAAGTGTGACACTTAAGAATTTTTATATATTTAGTTAAGTTTCTACTTTGTTTTCCCTTTTTGTTTATCTATCTATTTATTATTTATTTTGATGCCTAAAATTGAACACATTTAAAAATGGGGCATATTTGTAACAAAGAATATTTCTTTAAAAAATTTTTTTCCAATTTCTAATTTTTTTGAATGTAAAAAGAACTAAATTGATTTACCATGCTCAAAAAACACAGCCAATTAAACTTGCACTGAAAATATACCAAATAACAGTGAGGTAAACAATGGCTAAGGTCAGCTGGAAAATATCTATTTTAAATGCAACTAGCAATTAAATATTCCATTTCACTGTAATAAAATTTTTTCTGAGTTAAGTTAGGGTAAAGTAAAAATAGAGAGAGAGAGAGAGAGAGAGAGTGGAAAAAAAAAGAAAGAAAAAAAGATTTTTGTTCTATTAATCCTACTATTAACATTATCATCTTAAGATGATTTTCCAAACTATAGTTATTTTTATAACTTAAATTTTTTGTTAACTATTGAAATAATAAATTACAATTTCACCATACATCATAAGAAAAAAAAAATTGCAAAACCACACTCAACTTTTTATTCATAAAATTTTAAAAGAAAATCACCTTTTACGTGCAATACAGTTTATGAAATTCACATGAAAATTTTAATTCCTTCAAAAATGATTATAGAAATATATTAACAAAGATTACAAACAAATTGACAAAATGCAAAAAGTGTTTGAAGAATAAACAATAAAGACATAATTATTAATTTGAACATGGAAATANGAGAGAGAGAGGAGAGATTAATTGAAAGAGAAGAACAAAACGTATTAAAATAAAATATTTAAGCAAAAATATTTAATTTAAAAAAAAAGTTATTTGAAAGCCGGAAAACAAAATTATGAAAAGTTATAATCTCGTCATCAGGTTTACACGATTATATCAGCGAAAATAAAATATTATTATATTAATAAAATAATATTATATTAGTTAATATTTTAATTAATGTTAATTAATAATTTGATTAGTATTAATTAATTATTAAAAATTTATTCAAAATATTTTTATTAATTAATGTTATATCAATAAAAATATTTTGAATAAATTTTTAAGAAATTTTTTTTTAATTTTTTAGCTTAATAATTTTTTTCCCTCTCTTTTCATTTATCTTTATTACATTATTTTTCATGTTTGCATATATATTTATATATATATATTAGAATTGGACAAAAATGTAATTGATTACATTTTTCGATTACAGTAATCAATTACTTTTAATCGTGATTACAACTTTCAAAAATTTTATAAATATATATGTTATATACTAATTAATTTATTATTTAATGTTAATTAAAATATTAACTAATATAATATTATTTTATAATTATTTCAGCGGATTTTTCTCTGCTCAAATGAAAGTACTACTACAAATGTTGTATGGATTTTATTATATAAATATAATATTTATATAAATGTAATTTTGAGATTATAAATTCCTAAGTTCTGTAGTGTCTCTTTTTTAAAATGTTGTTTTTGTGAAATAAATTTTTCAAATTAACTATAAAATAACAATTTTTCAAATTGCGATAATATTTCAGTAATATGTTTAAAATTAAAAGGCAAACACACACTTTGAAATCATTCATTGTATTAAATTTAGAAAAACTAAATTAATATCTTTTCTTTAGATATCCTACTCCACTTAAATTAATATGTATTTAGAAATGTTGTGTGGTTTTTATGAAATAGTGTTATAACGTAAATAGTATGTATATAAAAATAATATTGAAATTCTGGTTGCACTGCAAGACTTGCAAGGAAGTTTTGTTTAAAAAGCTATTTCTTTAACAAGTATGTTTATAATATACATTATGTTGTTATATATATAATATGTTTTATGTGTAATATAAAATAGCGGTAATATGCTTTATATGTTAAATATGTTTTGTAAATTAACTATAATCTAACAACCTCAATTAAAATTGAGATAAAATTTTTGAAATATGTTTTTTATTAAATGATGAGCAAATAATATTTGTTGAGAAAATATATCATTTAATTTTCTCAAAGGAAAATTGTATATAAAAAATTATTAATGAAAATGATAAAAACCAATTCTCGAAGTAAAATAGATAGTGATTCACAAAAGTGCGGAATATTCAGTAAAATTCTACGGCCATCCAAACTATAAGTATACCTATTCAAAGAATCTTAAATAAAAAATTTTAATATCACGAAATTCAATAACCTAAGTACAAAAACTAAAATACTATCTAGCATTGAAATTTCTACAGATAATGATGCGGCGAAAGTAAGATAGTGTTAGAAGCTAACATTACTAATATCACCGACAAACAGATTTAAATAAGTTGCCATTATCTTAGTATCCAAAACATTTTCTTGAATAATAAAAATGTGCTGATTCAAAATATGTAAACCATTTGTCTCTATCACCCACCGTTTATACTTCTTCAACCATTTATATTTCATTAGAGCCGTTACATTGAGTACTCATGAACATATCAATAGCTCAGATATGATCACTCAGGTATGAGTATTCCATTAGCTTGTTTCCGTAAGCTGCAATTTTAACTAAGAGTATTAATCAATTTTTAAAAAAGTATCAATTTACATTCAAATAAATATTTAATTATATTGAACTCATGTATTAGAGCCAGGATTCATGTAATTGTTAATATAGTGCTTTTCAATGATATACATTCCCAATGCTCTTTTTCCATGTTTTTTCGACTGGAACTTTTTTTTTCTTCATAACTTTTTTCTGTAGCTCCGGTATAAAATGTAAAGAAATTCACAAATAATACACATAAATGTGATGCTGCTGTAGCCGATATAAGCAAACTACAATAAAATTAATAAAATATAAACATTATTTAATTAAAATTAAAAAAATTCGAACAATATTTCATTAAATTTACTAAAATTTAAACAGTATTCTATTAAAGTTAAACGGTGATCCATAAAATTAACTTTTGTTAATAGTATATTTGAAAACTTGACGTGATAGAGCAAAACGGTTTTGAAATCTGCATAAAAACACTACATATTATATATATATATGCTTATATATATATATATATAAATATATATGTAT